TTTGGTGGATGATTCTACAGATAAAAATAAAATGAAAAGTGCTCTAAGATGCTTCCCCGATTTTATCGTCGTGTATAAAACAATATTTTTTTTTTCATAGCGAGTTACGTTTTAAAAATATTCAGAAATTATTATTTCAAGGAATTTATTACGAATAGAAAAAATATTGTGCTGGGTTGGCGTTGGTTTCTATGTAATTTGACAAATAAATAAAGCTGTCTCTTTAGTTGTCAGTTTTGAGTCAATATTTTTTAATTCTCTCTCGTGTCGATTACTGATTGAATTGGAGCCAGAAAATTACCAACAGATATTTAGGCTGAGGCGACAAACGCCATATTCAAACTATATATATAAATTCGGGTCAGAACGTCCTACGACGTTGTCCGATGCCTAACTTTTTTCCCATTGCTCTTCGGTCAGATTTTTCTCGCTCATCGACCTTCTTATTCCTTCCATCCATGTTTTCTTGGGACGTCCTCTCTTTCGTTTACCAGGTGGTATCCAATGAATGACTTGTTTTGGAATTCTTTTCTCTGAACGTGGCCGTACCATATTAATTGCTTTTGTTCTATATCATTTACTATTGTTCCCTCTATTCCGATCTGTTGTCTAATGTCTTCATTTCTAATCTTATCCCTCCGTGAAATTCTCATTGCTCTTCTAATCGCGTCCATTTCTGTTGTCTCTAATTTCCTTTTATTCCTTTCAGTGAGTCGCCATGTTTCACATCCATAGAGTAATATGCTTTTAACTAGTGTCTCGTATATATTATATTTCCTGTTTTTTGTAATATCAAACATATTCAAATTACTTCCATTTAAATCCCGAATAACTTATGAAAAGAACTACAAAAATTTTCAAAAAATGGATGCAGTTAAAAAACGTGCGAGAAGAAATAAAGTTTTTAACCTATCCTCGCTGTTAAAGTATCATTTAATCTACCCTTGCGGTTGAAGTGGATACTATTTTATCTACTATTTTTGATAGATATAAGGCAATTTTAACAGTTGCTATGGAAAAAAATATATTTTTCTTATAATATTTATGGTTAAATATCAATAATAGTCACAAATCCAGAAAAACTAAAATATTTTATTGATAATAAATAATAAAAACTTTACCATGCTTTATAACTATTTTATACCCTTAAAATTAATTGTTATAAATGTTAAGTCTTATAATGACATTGTTTTCTAAAGAGATCTGTGTAGTATTTATTTTGATTAAATACAGTATTTTTCACTTGTCCTCATAGATGTGTCGAACTGTTCATATAGCCTTTGGAACATCAAAGTAATTTTGAACTCTATTATTAAAAAGAATTTGAATGTCAACTCGTTTTTATAATCGACGCAAATTGTTCAAATTATTTTCAATTCTCGCTAACTGTACAGGGTGGGTCAAATTGGACGCTTTTAAAATGTGCATTTTTAACAAATCGCTGGATTTTGTATTTAAAACATTTTCAAAGGACCTTTTTACGTAGAATTTAATGGTTTAAGTATAATGTTTTTAAAATTAATAATTTAAGAGTTATCAACAGAAAATTTGATTTTTCGGGGACACTCTGTACATTTTTTAATTAGCTGAAAAGAACTTAAAAGTACCTTTCCAAAATCACACACTTGATATTTTGTTACAGTCCCCTTCGAAATACAGAATTTTTAAAAGTTCGCCACTTTTAACTAGTAGGCTTTGGACCCCTTATTGATGATCTGCCTTTGATGGAACTCGAAAACATATTTTTCCAACAGGGCGAGGCACCGCATCTGAATGCTGAAGAGTTAACTAATTGAATAGTTAACCAAGATCCCAGCCCTTGGCCGTCTACGCCGCCGGACTTAGAGCCTATGGATTTTTATCTTAGCGGAAGAATAAAGGTTCTTATTTTTAAATTGCCTGTATAATCTATACAAGAATCAGAAGTACTTAGCGGTTATACGAGGGTTCTTTCACCGCCACCGAGTTAATTCCACGAGAAATGTTCAAAACGTGAACGCGTTTGTGACGTTTTGTTTTTTTAAAAATGAAAAATAATTTTAAAAAACACATTTTTTCATTAAAACTTTTACACGAATTTCTCTATCATTAAATTTCATAGGCTTGGTTATCAAACCGTGTTTCTGTAGATTACTTAAATACCTAAAAAAATAAAAATAACACATTTTTTTAACACAACAAAATAATAGTAACTAAACAAAACGTCATTTTTACTTCATCACAAGCAAATAAGAATTAATAGGTACGTAGCCAAGAGTCATAATTCAGGATTTCTCTTTGGGGTGTCCAGTAGAACCGGGGGGGGGGGGGTGGCACCCCCGGGCACCCCTGTAGTTACGCCAATGCCCCATCCTGTCTTTCCATAAAGATAGTCGATATGTCGAACAACTGTAGCAAAATCTCATGTCTTGGTTTGCTATTTATTTTTATTGTTATCAGATATAGTTTAAATATGTCGATGATGTTAAATACAGTTTAAATTGTTATAAAATTCTGCATCTCTCATTGCAAATATTATTTGCGTTTTAATTCCTGCTCACAGCTCGAATTTTTTTGCATTACAGCCGGCGCCGTTCAAAGCCTACTTTTTCAAGGTGGGCGAATTTTTAAAAACTCTATATTTCGAAGAGGAATCGAGAAAAATATCAAGTGTGCATATTTTTGAAAAGGTAATTTTAAATTATTTTCAATGAATTAAAAATATACAGGGTGTCCCATATAAAAAAGCAAATATTCTGTTGGTAACTCTTAAATTATTAATTTTAAAAAGATTGTACTTAAACCATTAAATTCTACGTAAAAAGGTGCTTTAAAAATGTTTTCACAAAAACACAAAATTTTCCATAAAAAAAAATTATAGCGATTTGTTAAAAATACACATTTTTTGAAAACCACCCCGTAACTCCGAAACGGTAACAGATATCGATATGTAGTATTCACCATCATGTTTTTGATAAAAATTGAGCTCCAGACACCGATATTAGTTTTCGTCTATCTCCTACAGAAAATGGTGTTTCCCTTTAAAAGCACCCAATTTGATCTACCCTGTACAGGGTGTCCCATTTTCATGTGTTTTACAGCGTCTCCCGTTTACGAGCGGAGATACAAAAATGCGGTGTTCACATCACTATGATACTTTTTATGAAACTAAAGATGCTACACACAGATTTGTCCTAACTCACTTAGTTACTGAAATACAGGGTGAATTTGAAAATTTACAGTTTTTGACGTTCTTCTTATATCGGTTATCATATAACTTATTGAAAAGGTAAAAACTGAGACCTGAAATTATTTTTTTCTATTTAAATATTGTTATTTCAACACGCAATAGGTCCAGTTGAGTGAAAACCCTGTATACATAGGTAGACATTCCGACGACAAAAATATCAAATTTGTTGCAAAATTGTCTAACAAAATAAATATTTAAATAAAAATATTTAAACTGTTGTATTTAAATTTTGTTCGCCTTGTAAAAAAAATAAACCAACAAATTTGTAGCGCAGTTTTATTTTAAATTGAATCCCATTATTGCTATCGCTTACATGTGCTGTAAATTAATTGAAAACTGGTATTTTTTTGTATAGTATTGGACATCGGTGTTCCACGAAATTCATTTTACTTGTTAGGGTTAATAATAACTAATAGCAACGTGCCGATTGGTGATCTGTTTTCGATTGATTGCAACCTAGAATTGGTTATATTTAACAATGAATTTCAATAAAATACTGTATTTATGTGGATATATTTTATTCATAAATTCGATTAAATATATGTATTGTAAACAAAAAGAAAAGCACAGAAACGAAAAAATTATTAAAACTATCGAGGATAATAAGAGCATGAAAATCATGAGACGCAAGCTCACTAATGGAAAAAAAGAAATCGTCAAACTCAAGGACAAAAATGGTAAAATATAACATCTAATAGAGAACATTTATTACAGATTGTGGAAACATTCTATGAAACACTATACACCAACCATTCTACTCTAGACTCGAGGAAGTACCTACAAGGAAAGGTTCAAAATCAGGGTTCTGAGGATGTTCCGGAAATCTCTGTAAGTGAAATTTACAATGCTCTAAAAAATATGAAGGACAATAAAGCTGGTGCCCGGTGGCGTAGAGGTACAGGCTCTCGTCTACCAATCTCAAGGTGTGGGTTCGATTCCCACACCCGGCATTGCATCAGCCGACTATTTTTATTAAAATAAAAAAAATAAAAATAGTTTGGGAATCTAGGTCGACTCAGCCTTAAATGAGTACTTGGGATTCACAATCCTGAGGTAATAATAGGCGATTGAAGCGTAGTGCTAGCCACATTACCTTCCTTGTATACCGAACGGCTCTAGTATGGCAAGCTGTACCTTGCTACTCCCAAGGCGTTAAACGCTATATACGGGAGCTATTATTATTATTACAATAAAGCTCCGGGGATGATGGTGTCGTCACAGAAGCGATAAAGATGGGAGGAACAGTATTAATGACCAATATTCAAAGGCTGTTCAATCTCCGTCTGGAAAATCAAAATATCCCTACAAAGTGGAATAACTCAATGATTATCCTCTTACATAAAAAAGGAGACATAGCAGACCTGGAAAATTACAGACCAATTAGCCTTTTTAACGATCTTTATAAACTATATACCCGAATTATAACAAATAGACTAGAGGCAAAATTGGACTTCTACCAACCTAAAGAGCAAGCTGGTTTCCGTTCCGAATTTGGTACCAACGATCATCTGCAGTGTATAAAAACCTTAATAGAAAAAACCATCGAATACAATCGTCCCCTAGCACTGATATTTGTCGATTTTAAAAAAGCGTTCGATACGGTAGAATTACCGGCCATCCTAACAGCGCTACAAGAATGTAGAATCGACCATCGATATTGTAACATAATAAAAAACATATATGACAATGCTACAACAAAACATATATGACAAATCTACATTCCACAACTAACCAGATAAAAATAAAAAGGGGAGTTAGGCAGGGCGATACCATGTCGCCAAAATTGTTTATTACTGTTCTTGAGCATGCATTCAAAATGCTGGCTTGGCAACAAAAAGGAATAGTTATCGATGGAGAGAGACTCAACCACCTACGCTTTGCGGATGATATCGTTATAGTGTCAGATAGTCTGGGAGAGATCAAAGACATGCTTCAAGAACGTAACGATGCATTACACGAGATTGGACTAACAATACATTTTGACAAGACTAAGATAATGACTAATATGGTGCCCAGCGAACACATACAAATTCACAACAACAGAATTGAATTAGTCCACAAATATGTATACTTGGGCCATGAGATCAAAATAAGCAGAGATAACCAAACCTGTAAACTGGCTAGACGAATTACCTTGGGATGGGCGGCTTACGGAAAAATGAGGGACATCTTTAGAGCAAATATCCCAATACACCTGAAAAGAAAGGCATTTAACCAATGTAACTGGATTGCAACAGCTAAAAACCGCGAGAACTGGAGACGTTTGGAGGAGGCCTATGTTCAACTATGGACGTGAAAGGGGGCTGCGTGATGATGATGATGATGATTGTAAACAAAAATGCATTCTTTATTTTTATTTTTACTTCTAATGCAAGCTCAGTCTGGGACACCTTTATATCGCTTATGTATGTTACATATATACTGCCAATACTCGCTGACGAGTATTTGACATGCATCAGAAGATGGTCACGCAAGGCGTTTTCTTTCATGAGCTTTTCTGTGACTGAAAAGCCCGATACGTGATGTTATCTGTCTAATCTGTCTACCGCACCCACTCCGTACATTCAAAAATCTCATTGCTTTGTTGCCTCTTTACTTTTTGGTTGTCTCTGTTAACTGTGTTTACAATTCTTCTCCATTGAGTTCTATTGTGAGCTGTTTCTTCCCACTCATTCTGCATATTAATCCCCTTTAAATTTTCGTGGAAAATGTCCTTGTACCTTTTGAGTTACAGGCTCACCGTAAAGCAGAGAATTTGGTATGCGGTTTTCTTGCATTCTGCATACGTGACCAGCCCATCTTAAGCGGGATTTTGTAACCATGACTTCAATACTCTCGCAGTTAGCTTCTTCAAGGATCGATACGTTTGAGACATGATGGAACCATCGGATTCTTAAGAGTTGTATAAGGTGTCTCTGTTGCAACTTGTTAGGTACGTTACTAATTTTAAAATAGAATTATAAGCCATACAATAAAAAAAAACGGTGTCAGAGTTGGCTCGGAAAGATAAATTGCTGTTATTGAATACCTATGTAAAATTATATGGGTATGTCACATTAGCATCAGAGAGAGATCAGACCTAGAAGAAGAGCAAACCTGAGAACAGGAAATTAACAGAAATAACTTGGGCCTACATATATTTTTTTATTCTCTCGAATGGTTTAAGTCGTATCTGAGCAACAGAAGTCAACTTGTGAGGGTGGATACCACGTTGTCTTCTAGCAAGCCAATAAAATGTGGAGTACCTCAAGGCTCAGTACTAGGCCCTATTTTGTTCCTTCTTTTTTTTTAACGACATTGCTAATATAAAGATCAGTGGTAAAATATGTCTTTTTATGGACGACACTAGCTTCACTTGGAGCAACAAGGACGTCACGGCATTTCATAGGATTACTATTTGACTTAATCACCATTAAATCTTGGTACGATTCGAACCTCCTGAGTCTCAACATTTCTAAAACTAAAGCTTTGCCGTATAAAAACTCGCTGCAGCCTTTTGTACTCAACAACACAACCATTGACGTCGTAAAACCTGTAAAATTCTTAGGGCTTGTTGTAGAGAATTCTCTAAAATGGGACATGCATATCGAAAAAATTAAGCTCTGTCTGTTTTGCATTAAGATCTGTTTCTAAGGAGCTTAACTTGTGAGTGGTTAGAACTGTTTATTATGCACTTTTTGAGTCGCACCTCAGATTTGCCCTTCCATTCTGGGGTACGTGTTGTGCGACTCAATTTGACCGCATTTTCAAGCTCCAGAGCAGAGCTGTTCGATATTCACTGGGACTAAACAGCAGAACTCATTGCCGGGACTTTTTTAAAGAATTAAAAATATTGACTCTTCCTTCCTTATTTATATTTGAATCCGTTTGCCTAATACGTAAGCATATATCAGCTTCTCAAGAAAGGCCATCTCACACTTACTTATCCACACAGGAACGCGGAGCAAGATCTTCATCTACCTACATCACGCTCAGAGTTAGTTAAAAGTTCAATATTATACAACTCGAAAAAAATGCACAATCACCTGCCATTTGAAATCAAAACCATAACATCATTTTCTTCATTTCGCAAAGCATTGAAATCTTATTTGCTAGACAAGGCTTTCTACGCCGTAAATGACGTATATTTTGATAATCAAATTTGATCTTGTAAACACTGGTCTAATATTTGCTATTACTGTATTTACTATAAACTTACGAAATATTTTTGAATCTTATTTTTATTTTTTATTCTTTGACATTGTAAACATTTATAAATGTTTTTTTAAACAAAAAGACTGACAATGTAATTTGTATACTTGTTTTGTTTGTTACTTTACCTTTGTCTACAAATTGTAAAATTTTTTGACAATAAAGGCATTTGTTATTATTATATAGCCAACAATAGACAAGAATGCGTCCAATAATTACAAAATTGATGATTATAATTGATGATATTATTATTTGAAATATTTTTAAATAAATTATTTTTTTATTAGCTATAGATAAAATTACTTCTAATTTTTAAATAATGTTTATGGTAATTTTATTAAATTAATCCGTTATATTATTATCATAAATCAACAACTAAATTAATTCTATATCAAATATCATATTGGCTAAATCTAATTTTGACGCTAATACGACACCAAAAGCCTTATCTAAAATTTTCAATATCAGAATTAAATGAAATTACATTTGCATATATTCATATTCTAATTAATGTTTTTCTGTCATTATTATATTCATTAATAGATAATTTTTAATTTAAATATATAGTTGAAAAATGATGCGGATTGAATGATTTATTGATAGAAAAAAATTGATACTATTTATAGATATACTGGAAAATTTAAAATTAGCTTTCATTAGTAATAATAGGAAAAGTATTTTTATAGGATAAATAATGTATTGTACACCTTTTTAATTTTATTTTAGATATATTAATACAAGGGCAAAATATAACACTAATTTACCATAGTACACCAAAACACTAAACACTGGACGCTCGTTTTGCTAACTATTTGAGCATCATCAGCAGATGACTTTACTCGTACCATTGTTGCCAGAAAATTTCAAGCGAATTTCTTCAACAGAGCCTTAAACAACCTTCATACTCCTTTAACTTCATAAAAAATTCTAGATATCGTGAAAAATCACCAAATTTCGAGTATTTTACCTATTTTATAAGGCTGTACTTAAACTGCCGTTAAACGGTAGCTTACTAAAATGCCGTTAATAGGTATGACGTCGTTGATGTGACGCACTTGACGGGCTTTATGAAATATAGGAATTTTATAAGGACTAACCAACGCTATCCACCCTACCAAATAACCAACTTAACCAACGCAACTAAGCTCGACACTGATAAAAAAATATAAAAAACAAATATAAATTAGTAAAAACCAACCAACCCCACCAAATAGCCACCTAACCAATGAATTAACACCCTCCAAATAACCACGCTAACCAACCTGCCAAATAACTAAACCAATCCAACCAAAAAGAGTGAAACCAATGCAATAAGATCACGCTACAAGCAAAAAAATATAAAAAAGGCTTGGTCGGCGTGAGATTTGAACCACGGACCATGAGCTCACGAAGCTATAGCCTCAGCCACGGAGCCACAGGTGCTCTTGCAAAATGCTTATCGGCAGGTATTAATTTCCGCCGACATGAACGACGTCACAATATCTATTAACGGCATTTTGTGAAACGGCTGTTTAAGTACATCGATTTTATAATTAGGAGAAAATTTTTAAAAACTTATTTCTGGTAATTTTTTGACACCGATGTATTTAAATAAACTTTTTTCCATAGCAACTGTTAAAATTACCTTATATCTATCAAAAATAGTAGATAAAATAGTACTTTAACCGCAAGGGTAGACAGGCCCGTTCCTGGGGTATCTAGCAGCATTCTTTGGTGCGTCCTTTTTATATTTAAATCAATTATATATTTTAATCTTAATCTCAAAAATTTGAAGGAAAACTATTCTAATTAAAGTATAAAAACATTTATTAAATAAATAAAACAAACAAAACCACAAATATATAGTAACAAAAATAGTACCCTAAAGTAAAAAACTGACCCATTTTATATGAAATACATAAAAACAATAAACTAAAATTCGGAAATAATACACATGTACTGATTTCTTTCGAAAATCGACAACTATGAAACTATGAACTCTTCCCAGACATAAACGGTACATTGTGAGACAGGAAATTGTAGAGAAACAAGCCCTATAACATAGGATACAACATTTTAATGAACAGTGCTTTTCATAAAATCAATAAAATGAAAAAAATACGAAATAATATGCATGTACTGATTTCTTTCGAAAATCGACAACTATGAAACTATGATCCCTTCCCCGACACAAACAGTACATTGTGAGACAGGAAATTATAGAGAGAAACAAGCCCTATGACATAGGATCAACATTTTCATGAACAGTGCTTTCCATAAAATCAATAAAATGAAAAATATACGAAATAATATACATGTACTGATTTCTTTCGAAAATTGACAATTATGAAACTATGAACCCTTCCTGGACACAAACAGTAGATTGTGAGACAGGAAATTGTAGAGAGAAACAAGCCCCTATAACATAGGATACAACATTTTAATGAACAGTGCTTTCCATAAAATCAATAAAATGAAAAATATACGAAATAATATACATCTACTGATTTCCTTCGAAAATCGACAACTATGAAACTATGATCCCTTCCCCGACACAAACGGTACATTGTGAGACAGGAAATTGTAGAGAGAAACAAGCTCTATAACATAGGATGCAACATTTTAATGAACAGTACTTTCCATAAAATCAATAAAATAAATAGATGAGATCAATGTGTTGCCGACAGATTGCCCTAGACTTGTTTATTCGGTGCGGCCAACGCAAAAAAGACGCTAAGCAAACTTTATCCTATGATTTAAGTAATTGTTTATTGGCAAGAAAACGTATCGGTTTCTTGTTATAAAATACTGATTGACCCTTTGATTTTGCACCCCCAAAATGTTGCGCCTACGTGCGTGCACGCACTGCACGCTCGCCAGGAACGGCCCTGAGGGTAGATTAAATAATACTTTAACAGCGAGGATAGATTAAAAACTTTATTTCTTTTCGCACGTTTTTTAATTGCTCTCATTTTTAAAAATTTTTGTATTCCTTTTCATAAGTTATTGAGACTGAATAATTTCTTGACCGTTGTCCAAGTTCAAATTTCCTTCTTGTTCGCCTATACATAGATATTTTGTTTTTTCTATGTTAACTGTCAGGCTCCATTCTCCGTATTCTTAAAT